GTAGTCCTTAGTACCTTGCAGATAGCGAAGGATGTACTTGGCTAGGTTGTAGTGCGACTCGTTCGGGTTGGCATTGTATTTGGACAATCGCGTGACGGCGAAATCGATGTCGGGGCGCGTCCCAAGAGTTGCGTAGAGAAGACTGCCGATCAAACTCTGGTAGCGCTTCCGAAAGGAATCAGAGGCAGGTTGCTTCGATGCGAGTATCTCAGCACCTGCAGGGAGGGGTGTGCGAGCCGGCTTGCAGTCAGCCATGTTGAAGCGCTCAAGGACGGACTGGATGTACTCGGTCTGGTCGACATCGAGCGTACGAGTGCTGCGATTTCGAGTGATGCGAAGACCGAGAAAGCGAGCAACTGGGCCCAAGTCCGTCATCTTGTACTGCTTCTTCAGGGTGTCCTTGACATGCGTGATGTGTTTGGACCGGTCACCGAAGATCAGTAGATCGTCGACATAGAGTACGACAATCGTAACGGAATCCCCCCCTTGTCGCCGATATACGTAGACTCCGGCATCAGAGTGTGTCCGTACGAATCCCATGCCAAGGAGAGAGTTGTGAATTTTGATATTCCACTGGCGTGACGCTTGTTTCAGGCCATAGATAGCCTTCTTCAGCAGACACACATAGTTCTCCTTGCCGCGTACAACCCAACCTTCCGGTTGTTCCATGTAGATCTCCTCGTCCAAGTCACCATTGAGAAACGCGGTCTTTACGTCCATAGACTCGATGTCCCAATCCTCAAGCGCAGCATGCGCGAGGAGGTAACGAATCGACTCAAAACGCGCGACAGGTGAGAACGTCTCATGGTAGTCCTCCCCCCAGACCTGGGTAAAACCCTTGGCGACCAAACGCGCCTTGTACCGGCCATCATGTTTGATGTCATACACCCAACGATTGGCGACGACATGGCGGTCTTTGGGACGTGGTACCAGGATCCAGGTCTTGTTCTCCAGAAGAGACTCGTACTCCGCTTTTTCAGCAAGTTGCCACTTCCCAGCGTCAGGCGTTTTCATGGCATCCCGATGGGAGTTCGGTAAGCCTGCCTTGTACTGAGCAGCAGCTAGGAAGCAGAGGAACGACTCCGCTGACAAGTC